ATTGTACTGAAGCAATCCATACAATATTTAACAACTTCCTGGTATAACATTTTCTTAAATAAAGCTCCCTATGATAGGAGATGTAGTAAGATTCCATAGATGCTGGAAATGAGAGATCTACAGGCGTCAGGAAAGACTGCAGACATTAGGAAAAATAAGAGCTCTCAACTTCATTGGTGTTCATGTCTTTTCAGGTAAGTTAATATTTTGCTTAATATTTCTAAGAAAAGTAAATGGTGAAATTTCAGTCATGGATCTTGACTTTTCTCCAATTTTAAAATCAGTGCCACTTCAAGTTCACAAGCATTTGCCTTTAACAGACATATAAATATATCTCAATCCCCATCCTACTCACAGGGCTTAAAATTCAAAATAACCTTTAACAGAGCTATGGGACAGGGTTTGAATCAGGAAATATTGAGTGCTTTTGAATTTAACCACATGATAGATTTAGATGTAGCAATATTCCCTTTTGTCTATCAGCCCCAAAAACACCGAGGGGTTTCTAGCTGTCTCTCGGCCCTGTAAGAGAGGTGCGAAGTAAAAAAGGTAAAAGGCTGAGCTGTGTGCACTGATGGGGATATCATAGTAGCAGTTGAACGTAGGTCAAAAAAGAAACAGGAAACCTGATGGGGGCTTACAAGTGAAGATATGACGGAGAAGCAGCTGGAGACAGTTACATTTCTTAGAAAACCAGTCCTGTTTTCTTTCAGGTCTCAGCCACAGCTTACCAGCTGAACACCCATGATGGTCCTGACTGCTTTCCAGCCAACCTTTCAGCAGCTCTTTGCTTCTTTTCAGGACAAAGACTTTGAGCCTCAACAAAGGTACAAGTGAACTGGACTTCCATAACATCAACAGAACAAGGAATTGATAATAGGTGAGGCTCTGGCTTCCTATTCCACCACTGAAATAGAACAAGAGCTGCAGATTTGAAAAATACCACTTATTAGTGGTACTGAAATAGCTAGAAAGACTGGAACTGTTTAAAACTGGTGTCTCAGAAATGCAATTTTATGTATTCCAGACATTCGTATGGTATTATGTTTGCACCAAATAATGATTCTACATATAACTGAGAAAACTTTGAAACTTTGCTAAGATCTGTATGGGCCTCCCTCAACAGAAGGACATAAACTGAAAGAAAAAAGATCAGAAAACAGTGAAACTTCCTCAGAAAACTGAGCACACACACACACAAAAAGCACATTAAAAACAGTAGTTCTAGGGCACAGGAAAAACTGCTGCCTGAAATGAAGAAGAAATCCCTCAGCTATTCTCTGAGCAGAACGGGTCAAATGCAGTTTTCAATTTTGAAGCACATTTTGCTGGAGAAGAGCACTGTCTGTCCCTGGTCATTACTGGCTGTCCATACATTCGTATCCTTCCTCCGTACTCCACTAACCTAGAAAATAATGATCCCTAGTACACAAGAAATCCAACAACCTGCCTAGGCCTCTAGGCATTACACAGCACCTCTTAGAGAGCCGTGATGATCAGGAGAGCAGTCATGGCACAGAGTGCAGGATGTGAACAATCATACCAAGCAACCAAAGCTGTGAGAAGGGATCAGGAATCAGGGCCTATTAAGTAGACCATGTTTGGAGAAGTCTGAATGTCAGTAAAAAGAGCTGAGGAGAAAAGTGTTTCTTCAACAAAGAAATTAGTATCAGAATGTGCATGTCTACTAAGGATCAGAGGGTAATGATGAGAAATGGTTTGTCCGGAAAGCAAGCAAGTCAGAACAGAAGGGCAAAAAGCCACGTGGTCAATGAAATAGAAAACCACAGCAATAATTACAAGGCTATTTCTCTCTCCAGTATACTGTGGTAATATAAAACAATCTGCAGCATAGTAGTTTCTTTATCCAGGACAAATTGCCTCTTTTTTGCTTTTTTCAATATTTTCTTAAATATATTCATCTACATTCCATGGAAGAACTACTTGCAAGTTACTTTTTATACCTAAAATAGCAGTGATGTCTTTAGCACAATTTCGACCAGTCCCCAATTATATTGTGAACAGCTGAACAATCCAGGAAAAAAATGACTTATGTCTAATCTAACTTTTCAGAGAGCTGCTAATGGTGGCACTGTGGCTATAAAATGGTAACATAGCACATTTGGTTCATTATTTAATTAAAGGCCAGAAATACAGACTTCTAAAATGTTTTCATGTGGGCAGGATGGGTGAGATAGGAGCTAACACAGGCATTTAATGTGTGCTCTGAAGGAAGACTAGCTGGAGGAGTTTGGTGAGTGTTGCAGCTGACAGTGCAGGCCTGTTCTCACAGTTCTTGCTTACGTGACCAGTTTGGATGACCTCTGCCAGCCTTTTGCTGATTTAGGTGAAACAAACGTTGGCAATACAGAACGCCATAAGGAAAGCTGTGTAAAGAGCAAGGGAGTAAGAAAGGAAAGAAGTCTGAGGAAGAAACTAGGAGAAGGCAATTAAGATCATTCATTAATTTTTCTCTAAACAGCAGTTTCTCTCTAAGAGATCCAGGTCCTTTTTTTCTTATGATTATGGGAGAGCATTAATGATTTACTATGTATACATCAAGCTTTATAAATCCTAGGCTCCATTAGATTTGTATGGGTTAACAAGATGAGTCGAGATAATATGCATCCTAGAGATTTACCTCTGCCCCAAATTAAATCAGCCACAGTTTGCTAAGAGAATAGGAAAGTCTTGAACCTTAGTCTTACATATACCAGTGTTGACAATTTTCCTTAAGTTAGGATGTAATTATTAGCATTTCAGTATTACCTCAGACTATCTACTCCCTATCATGCTACAGACAACAGAGCAGTAGCCAAGCCAAGATCAACCAAGAAAATGAAATGTTGCTTTACTTTTAGAATCAGAAAGAGTATTATGCAAAATATCGGGTTTACTCTAGTAAATAAATCAACATCAGAAAGAACATCTGCATCGTCCTCTGTCCCTAATCCTCTCATAGCAAAACCATCAGTGCTGGCTTTTTTGGTTCTTAAAAAGCAAAACTGAAAATCCAGTCTTCATAATCTTCAATTGAGCCAGTTGGTAGACTGCAAATGCAAAGAATGAGATGTCTTACTATTGCCTGTAATCTAAATCTGAAGAGACTAAGCCCAGAGAGTTACATTAAAGTCAGGAAACAAACTGTCCATCAGGAAAGCAGATGGCAAAATAAACAATAAACAATAATGAAGGAAAAAAAAAAAAAAAAAAAAAAAAAAAAGCACTAAAGCTCTTGCTGGCACTTAATAGTAAAATGGGTAGGATAAATCTCACCATTGTAGAGAATGTTAACAGACTGTTTGCAGCAAAATGAAATAGAATTATTTGAATCAACATTTATGCTCTCATAAATCTGATCCACACATCAATACTATTAGCATTTTGCCCTGGGGCTTCATTCAGTCTTAGCTTGAGATGCTGAGTTTCTTTCACTAGGATAAAGCATATGATGGAGTCTGGCGTTCCTCACACAATCTGGTTTCTACAGGGAATCCTGCTTACTTGTAGACAGGGACTCACACAGCACAGCAGTCTTTCGTGCACAGCTTCCATCCTATTTCTACCAAAAGTCTGTTTACAGGGCTCTCCCTGGGAGTCAGCACTGCTGAGGCCATCCAGGATTTCACTACAGCACCTTCATTATCTTTTTTGGGGGAACAATTTTCTTTCTGTCCTAATGATGGAATCATCAATCAATGCTTTGGCCTTTCTGTTTTCTGTGCCAAATCCCAGGAAAATCTTCCATGCTACATTTTGCTATTCAAATCCCACATATCAGGTACTGCTTTTTGTTGTTTGGCCTACTACATCATTTAAAAGAGTCTGAATGACTACTTTAATGTATTCAAGAGTATGGTTGCTATATTGACCTACTTCAGTGCAGCAATGATGTGTATGTGTGTGTATCTTTCCTAATGATATACAGCACACATTAAAGAAAATGCTGTTTTCAGCATATACCAAGTCAGAGCCAGAAACTGATTCAGATCAGGCTCTGGTTACTCAGGTCTCCATTTGCACACCCAACTCGCAGGTGCCTGTGGCTATCTTGACTCCTGTGATGTAGATTCACATTCCTGGGAGCTGGCGTTACTGCAGAGCGTGAACCATCTCTGTCCCTGGAGCATAGCATGATGGAATGAATGAAAAGGCAAAGGAGTCTGCTGTTTGCTTTTTCCTGATAGTTTTCAGTCAGTTGATCACCTTCCACGTGTTTACAATCACTATGTGCAATACCAGAAGACCTGCTGTTTCCAGTATTAAGGGGCAGAAAAACCTCATTGCAGTGTCCACTGTTTATATATCTCTCCAACTAAAGTTTATGTTTGTTTGTTTTCTAGTTTTAAATTGCACTTAAAAACAACAACAACAACAACAAAAAACCTCCATCAACAGTAGTTGAAATAGAAAAGCCTTCTCTAGATAGCTGTTCAGAAAGTCTGTTTCAGAACAAGATCGAACTCTGCTCTCCTGCATCCATCTCTAAGAACTTGTTGCCACAAAGGTAATTGCAAAAACAGGTTTCACCAGCTGACCTGATCCAAGAAGACAGATACATCAATACTTCTTCAGCCTCTGACCTTTCTCCAAATAACTCCAGTGTCCCTTACTAGAATTGCAGTGACCTCTAGGGGCCTGATCCAACACCACTTGTTTCACTGACCCTTACGACTTCAGTTTACTCCAGACTTTCAAAAAGTTTTCTAAGTCTGGATGAGTATTTAATGTACAGCTGAAAAACCCAGTGTGTCTGATGAGAAACAAAATGATCTAAAGCCTGGTTCAATGCTGCCAATGCCTGCACAGAAAATGAATGACTTCAGGATAAGGAACCCCTGGTGTTACTCTGACTGACACGTCCATTTACCTGAAATCCAGATCTGATTTATTGCATTTCTGAACTATATGTAAAATGACAGCAGCTTTTAATGCTGAACCAGAGCAAAAAGCTTCTACTTTTTACCCATTTCAGTACAAAAAGAACCACTTCCACTTACCCAAGAGTACTGCAGATCCATATCAGTTAGGGAATTTGTAAGATGTGGCTGATGAGAAGCGCAAGTACATTTTTCCCACTCTTCTATTTTTGAAATCAAGAAATCACAAGGACAGAGCTGGCTATCAGGAAATGGCTTCCAGTCACTCCACAAATGAAATTCAGTTTCTGAATGGATTGAAATCATTCCTAAGTTACTAAATTTGGAAGTATACGATTGGCCCAAAGATGCAGAAATAAACTCTGCCCTAGTCTCAGTCTCTTCTTTTCTCCTCACATTGTCTTTCCAGGCTTTCTTTTCCTGAGGTTTTGCCAGTTTCATGCAGGAAGTTAGTGCCTCTTCATCCTCTTCTGAAAGATAAGTATCTTCTAATGTATCTTTAAAAATACAAATACTTCTGTTAAGATATATTGCAAGACATACAGAAAATAGCATAATACTTTTCTTAAATATTGTCTTTTGCGTTCCATGTAATGAAACAGCCGAAGACTCCATTAAAAAAAAAAAAAAGATAATTACAAAGACAGAAAGACATCTGAGCCAACACCAAGATTTATTCTCCTCTTGGTTTATTTGTGTTCCCTCAAAATCCTGGAAATTTTTACTGTTTGTGAAATGAATACGAAAATTTACTAAGTCAATGTCATATTACTGCAATAGTTGCAGAGAGCATATGCTTAGTTTAAATACTGAAAAAGTTCAGAGGGTTTTTCTAGATAATTACTCTCCTACTCCTTTCTGTTATGTATGTTTGAATTAGAAAGTAGTTGCTGAAATCTATCCCACATCTAAATTTCTTCACAATTATTTGATTGGAGTAGTAATTAATTAGATCGCTAAAAGTCACTTGCTGGTATCTGTTTAAAAGATATCATCTATACCAAATGCATGCATGGTTAAATAAATGTTGGCAAAATAAATTCAGATAAAGAACTGCTGCACAGTCAGATCAGTAAGAGGAGACCCAACATCATACCTTGGGCATCGTATCTTAGGCAATCAGGTATGATGAGAGACTGAATGGTGGAACAAACTTTCTTGCACTCCCAGCTGCTACTGACTCATGGATGAACACTGACTGTTAACTTTGCTTTTGTAAGCTTTGCCTTCCTGATATGAAATGAGATATAAAACCACGAACTCCTTTTGGAGACACTGTCCTTAGCACGGAGGCCCCACTGTTTAGCTGAAATTCCTACTTGCAAGATATACTGTTACAAAACTCAAGCCAGTGTGACAGGAAACAGGTTTTCACACTATGATGATGTCACCACATAGTGCTATCACAGTAACATCTCAGCTGGGATTTGAAAATCGTGGGTGGTGAATGACAGATCAGGAGAGGATTGTTTATAGTTATGTTCAATACAGTGACATTTGGCACATATTGGAAAGAATGCTGCTCTGATGTCTTACTTACTAAGGGGGATCAAAACATGTTTGACATCCTCCAAGCTTTGTGTATTGGGTTTTTTGGTTCGGACCAATTTCTGCAATCGTTTTAATGTTCCCATGGACTCTGCTTTATCATTTGGCTCTGCACCCTGCCAAAAAAAAAACCACAAAGATACAAAAGTAACTATTAAAAATTCATAGAAAAAAAGTACCAATTACCTCAGTCTTTCTTCATAAGAGAGGTGCTCCAGCCTTTTGATTATCTTTGTGGCCCTCCTCTGGACCTGTTCCAACAACTTCACATCTTTGTTGTGCTGGGAGATACAGGCCTGGAGGCAGTACTCCAGATTTTGTCTTAGAAGAACAACATATAAAGGGCAATAACCTCCTTCTGTCTGCTGGCCACCCCTCTTTTGAAGGAACCCAGGATACCACTGGCCTTCCAGGCTGCAGTAGCACACTGCTGGCTCATGCCCAGCCTTTCGTCCACCAGAACCTCCATAACCTTCTCTGCAGAGCTGCTCTCAATGAGTTCTTCTCCCAGTCTGTATACATATCTGGGATTTCCCTGATCCAAGGACAGCACCTTGCACTTGGCCTTTTCAAACATCATTAGGTTCTTGTTGGCCCACATTTCAAGCCTGTCTAGGTCCCTCTGGATGCTGTCCCTTTTTTCTGTTGTATCTCAGCTTATAGTTGCTGAGCACGCACCCAATTCCAGTCTCTGGATTACTGATAAAGATGTTAAAGAACACCTATCCCAAGATGGACTCCTGTGGGACACACTTGTGACCAGCCTCCACCTGGACATAGAGCCATTGACCGTAACCCTCTGGCTGCAGTAATCCAACAGTCTAGAAATACTCCAAGTTCTCTTCCAATCTGACTGTGAACTTCTCTTTAAGAGAGACATGTCATACAGCAAATAACTTATCTTCCATAGCCATGTGCTGTGTTTCACATAGGATATCTGATTTTCATTAGAAACAAGGAAAAGTAAATGTACTAGAAGTGCATAAAAACAGTTCAGCAATGACTATAATGGCTGCCGTGTATATTCATCTATTTACATCAGTAATTAATTTGGCCTTTTTAAATAATATATCTTTACTGATATTATGAGTGATTAAGTGCTAGTGCTGATGTCACCAGAAGGTAGGAATGCAGAAACCTATACTGCACTCTCCCCAACAATTAGGTCACACACATTAGCTCCTTTCTGCTTCTCATAGACATAATCTTTTGAGACAAAGTCATCAGGGAGGCTTGCCAGTACAGTCTAATGTAGATTGGGTAGGCTACTTAGGGGTGGATCTTGAGAGATTCTGAACTTCACAAGCCTGTCCAGGTCCTCTGGACTCTATCCCTTCTTTCTGTCATATCTCAGCTTATTGTCACCAGCAAACTTGTGAGGGTACACCCAGTCCCTGGGCATCAGGTCCTCAGAATGGACTGTTCTGCTGGTCTGATACCTATATTTCCCACTGCTAGATAACAGACAAAAACTGGTTCCTTCAATTTTTCACCAATTGAAGAATTAATTATTTCACAGACCAATAAGATCTAGTGTCTATGAGTTTCAAACCATCTCTGTCTTCTTAAGGATCTTGTAGGATAAGGACCAAGCAGATCCACCTTAAAGCTTTCGTCGGCTTACAGTCCTTTTACAGCTTATATCTGAATATTCATCATCAACTGTGGGCCAAATGCAAACATCCTTAGATTAGTCATGACTTGTTTAAAGCCTCTTCTTCCATCCTCCAAATTCAGGAGAGCTGGATTGCAGTTTTAGTTTATCTAAAGACAGAAATGGAGGTGTAATTTTTAAGTCTCCTATTGTGAGATGCCTTTGCAAAATTAATCACAATGGGTTTAAAATGCTAATATGGCTCAGTTAGATAAGAACTCTCATAGAAATAATTATTTGTTCACTTGTAAGTAATGATACAAAAGCAACACAATGACTTATGATCTAGGATTTCCATCACAGAGACATGAAGATAAACAAACGATAATCTATTCAGATAATTTTATTAATGGCAAACTCTAATCCTCTTTACTTTAAGAGCATTCACTGTTAGCTAGTCTTATGTACTGAAATACAGCAACTCCCCTTTTTACAGAGAAAATATAATCTCATACAGTATCACTGATGGGACAATTTTTAAATTTAAAGCAGTTTATTCTGCTTTATGTAAGTATCAAAATCCAGAATTTTAGCTGCCTACTCATATGGTAAATGAAGTAAACCACTATTTTCTGTAGATAGACTACCAGGTGTACTGATTGTCCTTGTTCTCATTGTTTTGGTATGTTGTCTTGACCAACCTCAGTCAGACTTTTTGAAAACATGCATAAAAGTGAGAAAAACTTAAATTTTATTCTGTGATTTCAAGAAATTTTCTTCTCACTGTTTGTGTTATCTGGAAGCTAGCATCTTTGGTTGCTACTGTACAGAATATGACAGAAGGAAGAAGATTTTTACTGACCGGACAAGTGATTTGTTTTACTAATTTGGAGTATGCTACTTTCCAGTACCTTCTTTCTCTATAGAAAGAGAATGATATTTAGCAGTACTGGGGGGATAGTGAAACCTAGTTCACAGAGCAATAAGACTGTACTTGCAAAAACTGTTAATTTCAAACACATTTAAAGAACTTTTAACTTTCTTTTTCCTTCAAGTTTTACGGTCAGGATAGGGTACCTGCTTTAGCAGGGGGTTGATTCGATAATTTCTTAAGGTCCCTTTCAATCCCTGCAATTCTGTGATTCTGTGATTACAACACAATTTGTGGATAAAGGTATCTGTAAGCAAAGGATTCTTTCATGAACAAGAATATTCTTTATTTCCATGCTTAAGGGATTTCCGTCATGAAAAATGGTGTCACATGAATTAAAAAAATAAAATTGTCTAAGAAAATAAATAACAAGCTGCATTTTAGTTGAAAATAATTTGCATGAAGTGTACATGAACAGTTATGGTCAAAAGTGTACATTTCAAAATGTCCTTATAAAAATGGATTGCAGACAGAAATAGCTAAATTCTGTCTGACAAACAGTAGTTTATCCTAATGCTTTCTAAATACCTCAGAAATCTTTACTCACGGAGATGCTATGAGGATTAACCTGGTGACAGAAATATAACAATGTGAAAGCTTAATGAAAAAGACTGTTGGCCTGACTCCAGCTATCTCAATCCTGTTGAGCACTCCTTTTCCTGGGTTAACTGCATTAATTTCAATAAAAGTACTTGCACAGCACGTCACTTCTCAGTGTAAAGAATTTAGTCACAGCAGAGCCAAGTCTCTGTGATTTTCCCTGAACTGTTTGTCTTTCCTAAAAAACTGCAATGATTTAATCATGATTAGTTATGCATTCATATTCAGAGTATAGTATAATAACAAGAAGAGAAAAATTACTATGTGTTTATCACGTCTTTGGTATTACTGTTACAGTACCACAGAAATTTTTCAAAAGTACCAGTAATATCCCTGCTGCATATAATGAATATTAAAATAGTACACTGGAATAGAGAACATTCTGCTCTATTTACACAAAGGGTCAGCTCTGTAAAAGGCACTGATTTTGGATAAACTTTATGTTAAAAAATGTCAGTAAAGCCACAGTCAGCCAATAAACAGACAAGTACTGTGGAAACTTCTTTCTTATGCTCTTGGCCATAGATATCAGCCTGACCTTTAAATATCCCCATCATTTCGGTCTGGTTTTCTGTCTGCTCAAAAATTATTTCAGAGTCAAACTAACAGGCTAGAAGTTTAGACAGATTTTCCCTTGGGAAACCACAGAGCAATTATAAATTATTCTATAAAAGATAAAGAAACGTCATGATTAAAAGCATGGATTTTGGATAAAGATCTTTCAACTTTTGGGAAAGCAACATGCAGTAAAGGAAACCATTTTAAAACAGCATGTTCTTCATATGACTGCCAGCCACTGTTGAAATAAAATGAACAATATTCATGGCAACTCACCATTTCACCATTACTTGCCACTCTTGGATTGTAAACTCGTGGTGGAATCCATTGCTCATAATTTATCACCTAGATGGTAAGAAAAGTTAAAAGAAATCCGATGTAAATAAGATGAATAAGTATAAATTACCATGTTACTATCATGCCATTAAATGAAGGTTGAAAGATCAGCAGTCTTTCAACAAAACACTGTGTGCATACAAACGTGATGGCTCATAGACACCGGCTGACACACACTGAAATCAGTTTGAAACCAAGCTGTCTTCATTTCATCAGCTGCCTGGGATGCCCTATAAGCATCATGCTGCCTACATTATACCATGGGATGCTTGAATCACATTCTACATCCTCTTTTTTTCTACGAGCAGGAAAACCCCAAGTCTTTCTTCAGCCTCAGCTCCTCAGCTGAGGAGCAAATGTCACTGATGCAGTTCTAAAAAGAACCTCATTCAGTCTGCCTAATTTTGCCTCTGATGCTGAGCCCCAGGGGTGTGAGTTTGGTTTGGATTAACAAAGCAGAGAAAATGGGAGGATCTTCAGAGCTAAGCAAAGACAAGACTATATACTCTTTCATCATCTGCTCATAATCCATTTCTTGGTCACAATGTCCTCATGATAGGAACATCAGCAGAATACACTTTCCCTGGGGCACTGATGCAGTCCCTGGTGGGCAAGCCTGACAGTGCTTATAGCTTATCAGTGAAAGTAATGAATGCCAGCCTTTTTTTCTTCATGAATATGAATGACACTTTGAAGGCTGAATGCAACCTAAGAATTTACGTGAGAAATGAGGCATGAAACATTTTTGAAAATGTATTAGCCCAAAGACTGCATTACTTCATATTTTATGTCCTTCTCAATATGCTACAAAGGGTTTGAGCCATGGAGGGAGCCCTGCTAGACTTGAACAAACAAGAGCAAAGAAAAATAAATTCAGAAGGTACAGTTATTTTCTTATGGTAAAGCTCAACTATTACAGCGTTGCTCTTGTGTCAGTCAACCTGTGCTTCTGCTCCAAGCCTCTTTTTGCAAGTGCTTTAAGATGGAATTGCATAGAACAGAATGGAATGAGCATCTACTTAAGAAATGGATGGGGAATCTCAGTTTTCCTGAAGCACTTATAGAAGCCTGTTTGTCTGACAGACAGAGTGCAAAAATGCTCATTTCTTTAATTGCTCTTTCTTGTAAACTTGGCTCTTTTATGTTTCACAGAATCACAGATGCACTTGGGATGGCTGAGACAGGAAGTTACCTCTGGGGACTTCTAGCGAGAACAAGTCTGCTAGAACAGGTTGCCCAGGTCTGTGTCCTGGAAGGTTTGAATCATTTCCAATCATTTTCAATGATAGACATTCCACAGATTATCTGAGCAATCTCTTCCAGTGTTTGTTCAATTTTGTAGCAAAACAAAACAAAAAAAAAACCCACTTTCTTTATGTTAAAAGGAATTTTCTATATTTCAGTTTGTTTCTATTGCCTCTTCTACTGTTCTTGGGTACCCCACCCTGACAGCAGTCTGACTCTCTTTTCTTTACTCTCCCAGAAAGTATTTATACACCTGGGTCAGATCTCCCTGAGCCTTCTCTGCTTCAGGTCTCTGAATTTCTCTATGTATGACATATTCTTCAATCTCTAAATTATTTTTGTGGCCGTTAAGAGGATTTACTTCTCTTGGACTGGGGGGCCAATAATTGGACCCAACACTCACAAGAGGTGGGTCAGCTCACCAATGCTGAACATGGGGCAAAGATCACCCTCTTCAGTCTGCTAGCAATGCTCTGCTCAATGCAGCCCCGGAGGTTGCTGACCTTCTTTTCTCCAAGAACATTTTCTGGCTCATGGTCAAGTTGGTGTACACCAGGACGCACTGGTCCTTTCCTGTAAAGCTGCTTTCCAATCAGTTACCCCTCATCCTGTACTGGGAGAAGGTGTCATCTATCCCCAAGTTCAATACTTTCACTTGCATTTATTGAACTTGATGAGGTTCTTTTTGGGCCATTTCTCAGAACTGCTGAAGTCCATTTTGAAGGGCAGCATAATTCCTCTGGTACATCACCTTCTTTTCTGGCTCTCTGCTGCTCACTTCTCACCAACTGATGTGTTGTTAACTACTTTTATATTACAATTATTATACAAACCCAGGGGTCAGAACTCTTTAATTGCTCATAGTAGTGGCCTAAATAATATATTCAGAAGAGACACAGTATGCAGTTATATAAATTAAGATAGCATTAGAGATACATGTGCCAACATGGATCACACAAAACTAATACAAACACTTACTGTAGGTCTTGGCTGTTACAATTCAAGCACATCAATTTAACAGAAATGTGTTTGTTCAAGAAGACAGGAAGTTTTTTAAGTGATAAAACCTATTTGATCTGCATAATAAAAATGGTGCACAGCTCAGATAGCCAAGATCTTTTAAACTTGACTTCTGAAATACACACAGGTATGCTGACCATGAAGTGCATGATTTGAAAATTCATACAGAATGGAAGCAAGAAATATGCTTTTTGTTTGATTGAAATTTTAGAAGCTCGAGAGTAGTTCTTTTACCTGGCACGTTGTTTCTTCTATCTTCTTTCCTCGCAGCAAATGTATCCCATCACCAACAATATTATCTTCTATGAATAATGAAAAAAGCAACAAAAGACATGCTTTCAAATGTCCTGATTTCAGGTTTTTTTCTGACGAATATCATTTGAATTGCACTTGATAGTTTGAGCTGACATTTTGACTCTCTGAAGTTAACCCTGTATCATGTAAACATGCATTTTTATCTCAAACTACTTTGAAGTACGACTACAGAGCAAACTAACAAGATGATGTACATAAATATAATTCATTCATGCTTACTTCTTCATCTGAACTTAGTCCTCAGTTTACTAATGCAGAATCCCAACAAGCACTTCCTCCAGTATCTCAGTGTAGAAGCATGTGAAATATTTATACAAAAATTCGAACTCCCTAGACAAAAACGGTCATTGCAGTTGAGATCTGTTTAACTTCAATCTTTGAAATAGTTGGATGAGCATGAAACTAATGCTTTGTTTGGGAAGAATGTTTACTTTCATTACAACAATGCACAATAATTAGTCAAATGACTTTAAAAGTCTACATTTTAATAAGACTATTTTGAAAGATCTACTCTCACTTCCATTTTTAAGTCAAGGCAAAGTATCCACTTTCACCTAGTGCGTGACCCTAGCGATTACATTCCATCAATACAGATATCAGCCTGATTATGATTTTCTAATCACAGAATTAAGTGCTACCTTGGCTTTCCAAAATTAACAGAAAATAACCTTAACTTGGTCTTATTTTTGCTGCTGAGGAATGCCTTGCAATATTGGTAATAATTGTTACCCCAGTCCTCAAAATGTCTATACTTATGTTGGAATTAAACAAAAACAGAAGGTGAATAAAGCTGATCAAAAAAACTTGTAAACTCATGTCAGTGAAACAATCAAAGCATCACTGTACCTGTATTTTTATGTTATTTATAAAGAAAATTCTGAATCAAGAGACGTACTTAGTATTGTTAATTTTCTTAAAAGACAATCCTTTGTAAATAAAACAAAACAAACAACATTCAGTGCTTCTGTAATTTTGCTACTTGGATATTGTAAAGTCTGAGTTAAAATTCACAAATTATGATCTGAGCATCAGGCATAAAAGAGCAAAATTTAGTTCACACATGACTTCCACCCTCAAACCATAGGTCAGTTGCACAGGAAACCCCATTAAGCAATTTCCTTTATTTAGCATATGCATCAAAAGTAAGAAGGAAAATTAGTCACTTTTTTTTTTTTTTTAGTGAGTTTTAGAGGTTTCTATAAGAGTTTAAATAAACTTAGAAGACAGTATCTTTCTCCTGAATACCTGACTGCTACAGCAATACCAACAACTTTCTGATAAGCATATCAGAGTCCAAAATCTAACATGACCAGATGTCCTAAGCACCTACAAATCTCCTTGAAGTCACTGAGGGCCAGGTGTCTGATAGCCCACCCATTTATTTGAATGCAGAGCTAGTTAGACTTCTAGAGGCATTGCAACTCATGTCAAGCAGTGCTTATGCAGTCAGATTAACATAACTGGGAAGTTTCTGATCACTTTAGTGTAGGGGGAATTAGGAGCAGGGGAGAGTCATGTCCACTATTTCTGCAAGGTGTCAGCCCTTTTCTGTTTGTCTCAGGAATGCATTTGCATGAAAGCTCGATGACTATGACTCTCATAGTCAACTTTTTCAACAATGTCATTTTCAGGCTGGCAAATCTGGTACTGATGATTTGGATTTGGGCTTGTGAGTGAAGATAGGTATTCCCACTATTCTGTCTGTGATATATATATGGTCTTTATGTGATATATATATTGTACTATTATAGGAATAAGTGGTATTTTAGAGATTTTGCACACAGTCACGTTAGGGACCTAATGCAAAGGCTACCAGAGTCATTGGATGTCTTTTCAATGATCAGGTTTGGATCAGGCCCATGAATATAGTTCTGAAGTAAGCACAGGAGCCTATGCTGGCCACCACACACAGCCTATTGCATCTAACAGAAAATCATATTATGCAATAGATTTGCAGACCTTGAAGGATTATCTCTCTTAAGAGAAGGTTTTAATCAATAGTGACAAATTATCTTGATCAATAGTGAAACACTTTAAATCTCCTTGTAATGGTTTTCACCACTGTGTGAAGGGGACTTCCCTTTTAATAATTTTACTGCAGAGGGGGAAAGGGAGATTTTTATTTAGCTGCCAGCCTTGCTTCCTGTTCCCTCTGGGCCCCTGCCCTTCAATTACAACACTTGTCAGCTTTTAAAATGTGCACTGCTTCTTTTGCATGCTTTGGATATTTAAAAGGGTAAAAAAAAAAAAGTCTTGAGTAGGAAGGACTGGAGGAAGGTCAAAAAGTTCTCTTCTCTGATTTAACTTTTTTCCACCTTCAAACTGACAATCTGTACAGTAGGTTGAAGAATTTTGAAATATTTTTTGCTAAGACTTGCTCGGAAAGAAACTCTAATTTTTCTTTCAGTTATCATTAGAATCCTTTCCCTTTGAAGCCAGTGAGACTCCTTTTCTGCCCGTCAGTTCATCACAAGGGCAGAGTTCCTCCTTAGAAGGGTCTATTGTGATAATACAAGGAGAAATTATTTCAAACTAAAAGATGGGAGATTTAGTTTGGATATGAGAAAAAGTATTTTATGACAAGGGTAGTGAAGCATTAGCACAAGTTGCCCAGTGAGGTGGTGGATGCCCTATGCCTGGAGACATCCAAGTTCAGGCTGGATGGGGCTCTAAGCAACCTGATCTATCTGTAGGTGTCCCTGTTCACTACAAGGGAGTTGGTGTTTAAGGGTCCCTTCCATCTGAATCGAGTCTGGAATTCTCTGATTCTGTAAATTTTCTTGTCATCTTTTCATTCTGGCTCTGGTTTGTAGAAATCCAGCCTACTCATACACAAGCAAATGCAATAGCGTTTACAATTTCAGATCCGTTATTTTCCAAGCATTTAAGAATTCATCTTCAAGTGGTGAAGCAAATCCAGAGGGATACCTGGCACTTTGTCCTTTGCTATCTTTGGCATATCCTATTAACAGCAGAATCACTGAACAATGGATGATTTCTGGACCATTTTTACAGGAATTACTAAAAATAAATGTACTTCCCCTCTTGCCACTGTGTTGGCTTAAGTAGAGAATGAAAGATCCATCCAATTTTATCTCACATATCAAAGATTCTGTTTATGCTAATACAAGTGTTGAACTTTGACTGCTTTAGCCTCATAAGGCAGCGCTGTATTGGGTCTACCTTGGCTTTAGAAAGTACAAATACAAATTCAATTCCTGGAAGCAACATTAAGCAGGTTGTCAAAACATTTTGATTTTTTTAAAGCCTAGTTTAAATAAACAACGTGAATGCTCACATGTTATTTTTTCTAATTTAATGAATTTATACTGGTCAGTTCTTACAGCATCACTAGCAAATTCCCTGTAAGACTGCTTCAATTAAAGTTAGTTGAAATGCACCTTAAAAAGCAAATTGGATAAGAGTAGCCTAGAAAATTTGTACCTAGCAGTTGGAGCAGTGTAAAGTACACAGGGAACCATAGGATAATATTACATTTGCGAAGTCCTGTACAACCCAAAAATGACAATTTACCATAGGAGAATTCTTTTTTTGCCCATGGACCACAGACAGAATTGTTGACATAGCATGTTCTCAGCTTCCCAGTTTTAAAGTAAGCTTTATTTAAACTACTTTTTCCCCCCATTAGGACAAAGTAGATCTCAAAAGGATTTGACAAATTATTTAGTTTGATTATTTGTGAAAAATAAGAAATTTTCCTAGGTGCCATTTTAAAATACTTTGTGAACAAATGCAAAATCAGCTGAAATACATTTAGCAATTACCTTCAAGCTGACAGGGCCTTCTGATGTACGAATCATTCTCCAGCTTCCTGGAACCCTGCCAAAGTGTGCCATTCACATTTTTCCTGTCTAAAGTAAAAGCACAGAGAGCAGTCACCTAAATTCATAGCAAACCTGTGAAATAACAGGAAGGTCTATAAAAATAGCATAAGATTGTAAACCAAATGGGCTTGCAGAATCCTGTAGAATCTGCTCAAACAATAATAAGTGGAAACAAGTAGATGATTTTGCAATATAGGAAATCTGACAGATTTGGGCACACTTCAAGTTTTGTTGTCTTTTGTCCCTGTCTAGGACCTCATCTAACACTGTTAAAATTTGATCAGAATGATTTTTATCTTAACCTTGGTTTTAATACCTAGCAGCCCATAGAACACATGTGCCTTTATTTGCTTCCAGGAATTGCACTGAAAAGACTGAATTTGATTCTATCAGAGTGATTTACATTTTTTTTATTTAAATGTTTAAAGAGTCACTGAACATGCTAAGTATTTTCATATGCTGTTCCATTATAGATTCTTGAGTATAGGAACTAAACTGAAATTAAAATAGCTTTGGTTCCAGTATGTAACAACCAATGTATGTGTAGAAAGCGGGGGGAAGAAGGGGGAATACATTGATATCTTAGATGTATTCTTCCTTTCCTTTGCATTTGCTCCAAGGGTTGTAAAGCAAATCAGACCCTTAATTAAATTTGGCTCTGTGAGATTAATAAGCATATAGTGAATGATTTAAATAGTTACTAACCAAACGCTTCATTTTCAGACAGAGACTTCTGGATGGATCTAAAAGAATTAAAAGAATTAACCATTAGCTAAAAGTCAGAATGACAAATGAAAGCACATTTAATCAAATATGGTTATTTTCAACCTAATTCTTCAATTCCCAGGGATTTGGCTGTGCAATTCATACTGGCTTCAATTGGAGTTAGTTGTCCTACTTCATTCACCCAGTCATTACTTCCATATGCCACAGAGGGCTCTGAAATCTTTTGAGTTTTCACTTTGTAGAAGTGTTCTATTCAAGTTTCTTTTTGTAACAGGGATCTCATGACTGAATCAGGGAGGCCATCAGAAGGGGAATAAGAGATACATTTCTTTAGACATGATCTGAAATGTCCTGCAACTTACAGAAATTACCATCTGAAGTTTGGTGACATGATAATAAATTAAACCAAACAGCTACAGAAGAACATACATAACCCACAAACTGTGTGGGGTCATTTTATTGCTCCAATAAACCTTGACCTCTTCGCATGTTTACACCAAGATATAATGCTAACTCATGCTTCCATCTGCAGTGAGTGGTTCAAAGATTCATGCACAAAGAATACATTAATAGAAGAAAAAAAATTTCAGAATGAAGACAGATTTATCCTGTATATTAATTTGTTTCACTTTACCCATTAAAAACAAAAACAACAACAACAAAAAAAACTTATAGTAATTTTTGAGCTAGAGGATGAAGCCAGAAGATAATACTAGATAAGTCTTTATCTTTTATCTATAGACTCTTTAATCTATGACAATAAGCAGAAGGGAAAGCGCACAAAAATTGAGATCCCTCTCCCATACTCAAGCAGGTGGCAAAGGGTTTTCTGAATGAGAGGATACAACTGAGCTATTGATTTGTCTGTGAACAGTAGTTCCTTTTGAAACTGCTTAGAAATTTTTTTCCTTTCCAGAGATTCACTATTATTTTACTGTTTAAAGAAAGCATACTTCTGTTACTTCTGCTACTGATATTCATTGTTCTCTTCCTTGTTGCCCTGATGTAAGGAAGAGAATGATCATTTGCCTGCTGTAAGGGAAGATCAGTTTCAAGACCATCTAAAGAATCTGAAGGTGCGCAAGCCCATGGGACCCAATGAGATCCATCTCTGGGATCTGAGGGAACTGACAAAGTTGCCAAGCCATCGTATTTGAAAAGTCATGGCAGTCTGGTGAAGTTCCCACTGTTTGGAAAAGGAGAAACATAACCCCCATTGTCAAGAAGGGAAAAAAAGAAGATCCAGGAAACTACAGGCCAGTCAGTTTCACCTGGCACACCTTGTCTGCCTGACACAATCATGGAGCAGATCCTCCTTAAGGTTCTACTAAGGCACATGGAAATTAAAGACAAGGTGGTTGGTGGTAACCATGGTTTCACCAAGGGCAAGTCATGTCTGACCAACGTGGTGGCCTTTTATGGTGGAGTTACAGTGTCAGCGGATAAAGGAAGAACAACTGATATCATCTACCTGGACTTGTGCAAAGTGTTTGACACTGTCCAACATGACATCGTGGTCACCAAATTGGAAAAAAAAACGGATTTGATGGATGGATTATCCTCTGGATAAGGAACTGGCTGGATGGTCGCACTCAGAGAATTGCAGCCAGTGGCTCAGTGTCCAAGTAGAAACCGATGATGAGTGACATTCCTCACGGTATTGGGACTGGTGTTATTTAAAATCTTTTTAGGCAGCATGGACAGTGGGATTGAGTGCAACCACAGCAAGTCTGCAGATGACACCAAGCTGAGTGGTGCAGTTGACACATTAGAGGGAAGGGATGCCATCCAGAGGGATCTGGACAGTCTTGAGAGGTGGGCCTATGCCAACCTCATGAAGTTCAACAAGGCCAAGTGCGAGGTCCTGCATCTAAGTCAGGGCAATCTCAAGCACAGGTACAGGCTGGGGAAAGAATGGCTTGAGAGCAGCCCTGAGGAGAAGGATTTAAGGGTAGTGATGAAAGATTCAACATGAATGGGCAATGCGTGCTTGCAGCCCAGAAAGCAAACTGTATCCTGGGTTCATCAAGAGAATTTTCACCAGCAGGTTGAGGGAGGTGATTCTGCCCATCTTCTGAGACCCCATCTGGAGTACTGCATCCAGTTCTGGAGCCCTAAACAGAAGTAGAACATGTAGTTGTTCAAACAGGTCCAGACAAGGGCCACAAAGATGAGCAAAGGGTTAGAGCAACTCCCCTATGAGGACAGGCTGAGAGAGCTGGGACTCTTCAGCCTGGAGAAGAGAAGGCTTTGAGCAGACCTTATAGCAACCTTCCAGTACCTGAAGGAGGCCTATAGGAAAGCTGGGGAGGTGCTTTTTATAAGGGCATGTAGTGAGAAGATGAGGGGAAATGGTTTTAAACTGGAAGAGGGTAGACTTAGACTAGATATCAGGAAGAAATTCTTTAATGTGAGAGTGGTGAGACACTGGAACAGGATGCCCAGTTTGGTTGTGGATGCCTCCTCCCTACAAGCATCCAAGGTCAGGCTGAATGGGGCTGTGAGCAACTTGGTCCCCCGCCTATAGCAGGGGAGATGGAACTAGATGATCTTAAAGGTGCTTTCTAACCCAAACTATTCTATGATTCTACGATTCTGTGATTTCTCACTGACTCTCTCCATATCTATGGAAAAGGCCAATCAAAAATTTCTACATTATCAAGTAGAAGTTTGATACCATTTGTAAGAGATTATTCTTTTACATCATTGTTTCAAAGCTTGCTGGGGACACAGATGGACAAGTCCAAGCAAGTCCTGGGCAAGGGTTGAGAAATCCTTTGTCTGAGGGACACAGATGGACAAGGCCAGGGGCAGAGAGAAATAAGATGAGCTTAATGGCTGCGGTCTTTTGTGGGGGCTTATCTCAAGGAAGATGGCCATCTCAGGAGGTGCTGCATGTGACTCTTGCTCAAGCACCCAGAATGCCACGCTGGCAGAAGAAGAAGGATAAAAAGGGAACCTACAACCATGAGTTGAGGTTTTCGGGCAATAGATTCCTCATGAAGAAGAAGAGGTTTCTGCCACGAGAAGCCTCACGACCTGCCTCTCTCCCTCCTGGACTTGCTCTGCGCTCTACCAGCATGCTGAAGAAGAACCAAGTTGTCTGCCATCAGATTCCTCACTATGGAATTCCTGCATGCTGACGGACTCTCCTGGGCCTGCTACCTGAGTCCTGCTGCTTCCTCCCGGATAGGCTCTGCGACTTCTTCCTGCTACCTGCTGCTGCCCAAGGCCTGCCACGCTGCTGCTCCCTCCTGCTGCTTCTGCCTCAGACCTTCAAACATCGTGCAACGGGACGCTGCTGGATCGTGGTGGTGACTCTCCCCGCTTCACGCGATTCTTGCTTCTTTCCTATCTTTTCTATCGCCCTCCTTCCCTTCCCCGTCTCCCTGATTAGGATTTATAATAAACTGGTCAGATCAACATTTGAACCGCTGTTTGTTAATCTCACACCGGGTATTCAGATATTAAAAGAACCTCATCTCCCTTCTATAAGTTGGAGCAAGAAAGCAGTACAGTGATGTCTGGACATTCACAGCAAAATAAGATTTGAATGCAATTCACATTGGGAGAAATTGTCTTAATCTTATTCATTATTTATATTGATTATTCAAGTGATCAAGACAACCTTTCTAAATTCTGATTAGTTAAATGGAATGGAGTTAGTTTTAGAATAAAATAATATTATTTGCATTGTAAGATTTGAGAGTGGAGCCAGAGATTACTATTCCTATCACTAGGTTAGTCTTGGTACTGAACTAAGTAGGTGTCTCAGGCAGCTTGGTGATTGCCTCATATTTGGTAGAGCTATTTTAAATTATTTATGCTGTGGTAATTCAATGCCAGCATACACAGCAGTTTAGCTTCCTTAAAAGTATTAAATGATGATTAGAAAAAAATGTGAATAATGGAGTTATATCCGTACTTAGATAAATGAAATTTTGGAAAGGAAGAGCATTTTCACAACGAAAAACAGATGAAAACTGTCTATTAAGACAAATGAGATTTTCACTGAAGTTATTATCTATTTTGAAATTTATTAGGAACATAGAGAGATGGCACTGATGATCTGAATTTAATGATGCCCATCCTAAAAAAGAAAAAAATAGAATGACATCCAAGGATTTTCATGCCACAGCTGTACAGATCAGATCTGTGTTTATCATTCCATTAGGCAGGATTTCATTTGAAGGGAACTTCATCGGTAATGCAAAAACTGCTAATCTCAAGACAAAAAAAGGAAATTTTCAAAATAAACTCTGCTTGCTAATATATTCGTCCAAACTGGTATTGTGCCTTAACAAATTGACATGAAGTATGCCGCTGCCTCAAATGTATTTGATTAAATAAGGTTTGTCCTGCTTAATCTGAATCATTTTGCAAACTAATTTTTTATTTGGATTAAAAAACACAACTCTTCAGAAGATTATCAGGTCAATGGTACAAACGTTCCATAAAATAGGTTACTTCAGTCTTTCAGAAAAGTGGACATACGGTTAAAACAAGCTCAGATTAACTGCATTTGATTTCAGCTATCCTGTCCCAATATTTTGTAAGATTTATGTATACGAAAAAAAAGTCACAGCAAGAAAGCTTTACTAATATTACACGCCTGTTACTGGGTTCCCAAATGCAATATTAATACATGTACGCTATGAAAATTAATGTAACATTGGCAAACACATTAACAAAGCAACAAGGGTGAAAGAAACACATAAATATAGCGACACTGTGTAGACCTTGAATTGGTCTCAACTTACTTTCTCTTTTTGGTCACTGTGTTCTCAAAATCAGGAAATTCCTTAAAAAAAAAAAAAAAAAAAAACAGAGAAAAGACATGAAAATCATAATTTTTTAATCAAAATATAATATTTTCCTCAATGTAAGGACAATGTAAGATGGCTTTATGCACATTCGATATGTGTTTTTAATATCCACTAATATTCAACAAGTGAAACTATGGAAGACACAGTGCAGGAGAGAATATACATAAGTAAGTGTCCTAGATTTTCAGAGATTTCAATATCAATGGCTCCCAAGAAGTTGACACTGACAGCTGTAATACGGACAAAAAATCAGAGCACAGTACTCTTACATCAAAAATGGGTATTTCCAGCATAATATGATTCTTTTTAATACTGCCTCCATAATGTAAATTTTATGAGGATAAAATGCTCACAGATTACAATGGGATGAATCTTTCTAATGGACACAAAAATGCAGACTCTCTAATTCCCTTACATGCAGAGGATGTGATCATCCCTCTGTACTCAGCGCTGGTGAGGCCACACCTCTGAGTACTGTGTTCAGTTTCAGGCCCTTCACTGCAAGAAAGATATTGAGGCCCTGGAACATGATCAGAGAAGGGCAGTGAAGCTGGTGAGGGGTCTGAAGCACAAATCTTATGGGGAGCAGCCAAAGGAACTAGGATTATTCAGTCTGGAGAAGGCCTCTTCTCCCATGTAACTAACAATAGGGATAGAGGGAACAGTCTCAGGTTGTGCCACAGGAGATTCAGGTTGGACATTAGGAAATACTACTTCTCCAAAAGAGCAGTCAGGCACTGGAATGGGCTGCTCAGGGAGGTAGTGGAGTCACCAGTACTGGAGGTGTTCAGGAAATGTTTAGATACATGTTTAGGCGATGTACCAAGAGACATGGTTTAGTGGGAACTATAGGTGATATTTCTTAAGACAGAGTATCAAAGCAATATATCACTTTCATATCTATTTCTTCCAGCCTGGAAAACAGAAACCGGGGTAAAAATATCCACGATGAATGTCATTTAGATCTGCTGGGCAACAAGGCACATTTAAAAAAATAAGTATGAAAACATCAATTTATAGATCTATTTCTCATATTCTTATGTTTAATTTTTTTCCTTTATGTAATATCATCTACACAGCTCTGACCACAGAAATTTAAAAAATACCAATCAGCTTGCAGGATGAAAAGGCAGAACACATATTACACAAAACGATGCAAGTGTATAACTGAGAATTTTGTATTTTTTTCCTTCTCTTAGTATAATCCATCATTCTTCTGAAAAGGCTTTTCCATTAGGAAAAGGCTGTTTTATTGCATTGAGTTCATTTTAGCAGAGCGCAGGAGGCCCCACTAGTACTTGGACACAATCTGTGAATGCTAATAATTGTATTCAGCTTCCACAAAATAGTTTTGCAAGTACAGTTTCACTCTCAGATACTATATGTGGATCAAAAGAGTATACCTTTTACCCTGAAATACTGCAAGCAATGGAAGAAATAGTTCTTACCGAAATAAAAAACAAACCTCTCAGCATGTCTTGGGACAAATCTTTTCAATGGTTGAAAGATGTTGAAAAAGTGATTTTAAAAAGAGTAGCATCAACATCTCATTTAAAAACATCAACTTTTTTATCTCAAGAAGGCTCATTAAAGGAAATGCTATGCATGAAGGTCAGAGACCACACAGAGAACATTGTTAAGTTAGAATCTCTATGAAAACCAGAGCAAAAAACTGCAGATGTGGCATTCTCTGAAGTTCAGTGTGGCCTCATACCTGGAAACATGATTAATTAAAGTCTGGACATGCCAAATATCTGGTTCGGAACATGTAGGTTTAATATTTGCTCTACAATTTCAAACAAATGTTTCATTATCTGTTTCCTAAAATGCAGTAAAAGATGCATGTATCACACTGCTTCACATGTTGAGGCAATACTGAAGAATTCATTAGACATAATGGAATGCAGTGTCACCATGGAATATGATGGTGGGATTCTATGGGCATTTAAAATGGCTCCTTTTATTCAGTGCACCTCTTTTTGTGATGTCTGAATCAGCTGTCTGATTGGAGTACAAAATAAATTATTCTTCTTAGTACTTACTTTTTAAGTTTTTACATTACTTGAATACACTAGAAAATCCTACCACTGTGATCTGTAACTAAGAATTAAGTAGTTTTGCAAACATGTTTTACCTTTAATTGTAAAGAAAGTTTCATCTAAAATCTCATCTCTACATTCTCTGAAGTTTGTCATTACCTTTTCAATGGAAATTAGAAAAGTTTCCCTATCCCAAATACAAATGATTTATTTCTTAAAAATAAACTAAATGTACGTGCAAACAGCATTATGAAATTGCAATAAAGTCCTTTCCTCCCTGCTTTCATCAAATAGCTCTGAATTAAGGAATGAGTACCTCTGGTGTTTACAAGTAAGCTGAAAAAGCTAGAGCTCCTCTGTTTGTTAGACTTAAGCAGGGAAATAATGACTTCAGGTAACCAGCCCTCTTCTTTCTCCCAGTGGTATCAAATGCCAATTATAAAGTAGGTAATGTAACTGCTTGTGGTTTTGATGACAGTAACTTAGAAAGACTGATAAATTATTTGGCATTTTTCTGATACACAAGGTAGTTGATCATATCGCAATTAACAGTTGAAAAATATGTGGACATTTGTGATTTCAATCTGACAGGAAATGTATGAAAATATTTTTAATGTAGAAGATTTTTCTTGTGAAGCTTAACACAGGCCATGAGGTAGAATATGAAGAAATTCAGTTTCTCAGTTAATAACACTGTTGAACACAAACTGTACCCATATGATTCATTATGCACTTTTGGCTACCAGCTGTATCTGAGGAAGACTTGTTTCAACACTGCTAAACTTAAGATTTGGAAAGAGCTCTGTAAATTTAGTTTTTGCTCTCTATTTGTGAAGACAACTGAAAAACTACTGAGAAAGTACCCCAAAAGTTAATAGACATGCCCCTGTGAGAATTAAAATCAATAAACAAGTGTGTATAACATGCACAAGCCATTACTACAGGAATACAGATTGGGAACACCTCAGACAAAACATTTCATATACTAAATAAGATAAAAAAAGAGTACATGAAAGATTGTTCTTTATAAACAATGTGATGGCATGCGGCCAGATGCAAAAATAATCACGACTCAAAAAGGTGTTCAGTGAGTGTATTTTCTGAATTACGTCCTGCACAGCTCCAGTTGCCACAACACCCTGTATTTTCCACGTCTCTGGTGGAACGTCACAACCCAACTATGACTGAGACAAACCACAAGAGACGAGATAACAGCAAGAAAATAACTGCTTTGCTGCAGCAGGAGGAAAAATTTCCACTAGGTCTAACTTCCATCTTCTGAATTGAGGGGAGCAGAACTTGAATGCCTGCTATGTTGATGTACAAAGTAATACGGAAAAAAGAAAGGGGGAAAATTCTCCCAAGAAAGAGAAGTGTCATGTCAAGCTGCTCCATCCTGAGGAAATATAACAGCTCTGCGGAATCTACACGGCCATGGCTCAGCCGATCATTTAAACATACTCTCAAGCCCATACCCATTAGTGATGCACTTAAGTATATGCATTACTGAATAATGATAGATGGTTGAATCAGGGCCTGAGGGAGCCAATAATGCACTGAATTTATCATGCTATGGGGGCCGCCCCGCAGCATGGAACTAAGTGACGGAATTAAAAATGGGAGAGAAGTACAAATGGGCTCAGTTAATAAGCTTAACGGCTTCATCCAAGGTGTAGGTCTAATAACTCACATGCTAGAAATAGCAGATAAGATTACACATAGTCCTTTGGCCTTAGCAGCATTTTTCCATAGGTCTTACCATTGACACATCATCACTAATCTTGTTTTCCATTTCTAGAGAGTATTTTATAAATAACCATGTTGATTCTACAGCCTGCACAGTGACACAGCATTGAGCTGTTATTTTTAGTTAAGTGCTGAGCTGAATATTCTCTCAAAACATAAAAAAAATAAAGCTCACAGCCAGTCTTACGGGGCTTCTTGTTAATATTTAGTGAGCCAACAGATTGCTTCCCACTTACCCTTGCTTTTATTGATGATGAATTTAAATTTACGATGAATAAATATGCCATCACTAAAATATCTCCCTTAGGAAAACAGAAATATATTATTAGAGATAGCAGAAACGAAAGCGCTGGATTCTTCTATTCACTGCTGTTTATATCTTCGTGGTCTAGGCAATACCACAGAAACAGCTCTGAGTAATATGAGAACAACTTTCTTCATTTTTTTCAGATTGATATCTAGCATCTTCTAATCCTACACTCGCAACTTATCTGCTTCTCTAGGCTGGCTCAATGAAAATAAAGCTGCATTGGACAGGCTGTTTACTTGTATAGGGTTTAAAATTTATGAAGTTTCACTTCATATAAAGGTAATGAAGAGTCTGAAGGAAAGTTGCTGAATCAGAAAACAGAGCAAAATAGGAAAAAAAGTAAGAAATAAAAAGCATGAGGTCACTGCATCTTTAATTCTTAGTCTTACACACTGTAATTAACCTAGTGCTGAGCACAGTGTTATGGATCTGACTCTCCCATACCTTGGCAAGATAAAGAACAAGTCACGGTAGTTATCTGTTGCAAAGTACCGTGTCACATCCTGGACACAAACCAAAGGACAATTCTATTCTTCACTTTATCTAAATCCAGTTCCTAGCAGATAAGCAAAGGACAAAGAAATAGCATAGCTGCAATTAGTTGGTCAGCTGGCTTGACGTCATACAGAAAGAGAAACATTCTGAATGGATGTAGGAGCTGAATGTCACATATTCATTAGAAGAACAGCATGCTTCAGTACTGTTTTATACCACAGCCCTAGCCAAAAAAGCTAGATCTTACATATCTGAAATACTGGAATCACACTAGGATCAGGTCACAGCCATATTTCACAACCACGATTAAAGACACTTAGGTGAAATGGTGTAGAAGTGGCTCATTTTTCTAGTAACGAGGTCACAACCAGATAATGGAGAGAAACCTGTCACACAAGAAAGCATCTCCAACTTCCTGCAACAAAACTGTAATTCAGGCCCATCCCAGAGCCCAGGCTCACAGATCTGTGCTGATGTGATGAGGCCTCTTGAGATCTCTGCGCTACTATGCTCTCAAAACCAAACCATTGCACAGAGCATCGAGATGATAATCCAGAAGAGAGCATGCACAGAGTAAGTTGGGTCCGGGAAGAATAAGTTATTTCCATTCCTTTAGGATTCAAAAAACGCATGCAACAATTCCCCAGCCATTTTCCTGTTCCACTTGCACAGATGCTCTTTCCACACAAGTCCCATTCACAAATCTGCTTTGCATCACTGCAACACCGTAGGCCCAACAGACATATAGGTACGTGGTAACTAAACCACAGTGCACAAGGGTAAAGCCTGGCATAATTTGTGCTGGCAGAAGTCTCTCTTCCTTTAATAATGAACATTATGGTTTCTTTTTATTCTTTCTTTTTATTCTGTCGCGAGACTGCATCATATGTCACTATTTTGCAAAGTTAGAGACAGTAATTACAAATAAAGGAGGCACCATTAAGCAGAAGAAAAGAAAAAGATTATTAAATGAAATAAAAGAAATTATTTAATGAAATAAATGAGATTATGAAATGTAATATTATCCCTATTATTCTTACTACTTAGGAAGAAAAAAAAATACAGAAGACAATTTCCTTCATGTTTGCTGAATGATTTTTTGATCAAATGTAATGGTTATCCCGCAAAAGTTTTACAAAATTTATTAATATTCACAAAATTCATACAACTCACTCATTAAAAATGTGTTTTTGTTAATAAAAAGGACAGCTAAAGGCACAGTTACAAACACAGAAACCAGGTGATTAGGTACAGGGATGAGATATCACAGAATCACAGGGGTTGGAAGGGACTTCCAGAGATCATCGAGTCCAACCCCCCTGTCAAAGCAGGTTCCCTACACCAGGTCTCACAAGCAGGTGTCCAGGCAGATTTGAATATCTCCAGAGAAGGAGACTCCACCACCTCCCTGGGCAGCCTGTTCCAGCGCTCCGTCACCTCACTGTAAAGAAGTTCTTGCGCACACTTGTGCAGAACTTCCTATGCTGCAGTTTCTGGCCGTTTCCCCTCGTCCTGTCTCCACACTCTGCTGAAAACAGTCCGGCCTCGCCATTCTGCCCCCCACACCTTAAATATTGATAGACCTGCATCAGGTCCCCTCTCAGTCTTCTTTTCTCAAGGCTGAACAGACCCAGTTCACTCAGCCTTTCTTCATAGGAGAGATGCTCCAGGCCCTTCACCATCTCTGTGGCCCTCCGCTGGACTCTTTCCAAGAGATCCCTGTCTTTTTTGTACTGGGGAGCCCAGAACTGGACGCAGTACTCCAGATGAGGCCTTACCACGGCAGAGTAGAGGGGGAGGATCACCTCCCTTGACCTGCTGGACACGCTCTTTTTAATGCATCCCAGAATGCCACTGGCCTTTTTTTGGCCACAAGGGCACACTGCTGGCTCATGACCAACCTGTTGTCCACCAGGACACCCAGGTCCCTCTCTGCAGAGCTCCTCTCCAGCAGGTCATCCCCAACCTGTACCGGTACATGCAATTATTCCTCCCTAGATGCGAGACTCTACACTTGCTTTTGTTAAGCCTCATCTGGTTTCTTACTGCCCAGCTCTCCAGCCTGTCCAAGTCTCACTGAATGGCAGCACAGCCTTCAGGCGTGTCAGCCAATCCTCCCAACTTCGTATCATCAGCAAACTTGCTGAGGGTGGCCACTGTCCCCTCATCAAGGTCATTGATGAAGATGTTGAACAAAACCAGATCCAGCACCAACCCTTGAGGAACACCGCTGGTTACAGGCCTCCAACCGGACTCTGCACCACCAATGATGACCCTCTGTGCTCTGCCAGTTCTTAACCCACCTCACTGTCCACTCATCTATCCCACATTTCCTCAGCTTTGTTATAAGGATGTCGTGGGAGATAATATCAAATGCCTTGCTGAAATCAAGATTACATCCACTGCTCTCCCCCCAACCACCCAGCCAGTGACAACATTGTAGAAGGCTAAGAGGCTGGTCAAGCATGACCCATGCTGACTACTCCTGATAACCTCCTTTTCTTTCAGTTGTCTGGAGATGGCATCCAGCACAAGCTGTCCTTTCCAGGGACAGAGGTGAGGCTGACTGGCCTGCAATTACCTGGATCTTCCTTATTGCCCTTTTTGAAGACCAGAGTGACATTGGCTATCCTCCAGTCTTCAGGCACCGCCCCCATTCTCCAAGACCTCTCAAAGATGACAGAGAGCAGTTCAGCAATCACCTCTGCCAGCTCCCTCAGCACCCACGGATGCATCCCATTGGGTCCCATGGATTTATGAACATTGGTGTTGCCTAGGTGCTCTCGGACTGCCTCTTTCCTGACTAAAGGGAAGTCTTCCATTCCCTAGACCCTAGACTGACTTCCAGGGCATGGGAAACCTAAGAGAACCTTTTCACTGAAGATGGAAGTAAAGAAAGCATTCAGTATCTCCACTTCCTCAGCATCCCCCATTACCAGAACACCCCCCTCACTTAGTAGGGGAGCCACACTCTCCCTAGCCTTCCTTTTACTGTTAACATACTTAAAAAAGCCTTTTTTATTATCCTTTATCACCTTTGCCAGATTCAATTCCAGGTGGGCTTTAGCCTTCCTCGTCGCATCCCTGCAGGCCCTGACAACATTTCTATATTCTTCCCAAGTGCTCAGACCCTTTTTCCACATCTCATGGATCTTCTTCTTCCCTTTTAGTTTGTGCATGAGCTCCTTGCTCATCCACACAGATCTCCTGCCACCCTTTCCTGATTTCTTGCTCATAGGGATGCACTGATCCTGAGCTTGGAAGAAGAGCTGTTTAAATGCTGTCCAGCTTTCACAGGCCTCCTTATCTTCTAACACCCTAGCCCACAGGATAGTTCCAAATAGGGATAGCTCCTAAAGTTCAGTGTAGCAACCCTACTTTTTGCTTTGCTTCTTCCACTCAAGATCTTGAACTCCACCCTCTCATGGTCACTACAACCCAAGCTGCCCCTGACCATTACTTCCTTGACAAGCCCTTCCTTATTAGTGAGAATAAGGTCCAGCAACACCCTCCCCTCGTCAGTTCCTCCACTACCTGCATCAGAAAGATGTCTTCAACACATTGTAGGAACTGTCTGGACCGTGTGTGCCTGGCCATATTGCTTCCAATATATTGCATCCAGCAAATATCTGGATAATTGAAGTCCCCATAAGCACCAGCGCCTGGGATCATGATGATACTTTCAGTTGCTTATGGAAGGCCTCATCAACCTCCTCCTCCTGATCAGGGGGCCTGTAGCACACACCCACAACAGTGTCAGCCATACCAGCCTGCCCCTTGATTCTCACCACAAGCTCTCCACTGCAACACCACTCTCCCCCAACTGGAGTTCAATACATTCTAGCTGCTCTCTCACATAAAGAGCAACTCCACCACCCCGCCTCGCCAGCCAATCTTTCCTAAAAAGCACATAGCCCTCCATGACAACATTCCAGTCACACGAGTCACATGTCCCACCATGTCTCTGTGACTGCAATGAGATCATAGCCATGTGACTGCACACAGATCTCCAGTTCTTCCTGTTTATTTCCCGTACAGTGCGCATTAGTTTACAGGCACTTTAGGGAAGCAGCATTCCCCTGGCCCCTCTCCATCCCTTTGAACTCCACCCTCATCACCCATCAAGCTCTGTTTTGAGCCTTGAACTACCCGCTCAACCCAGCAGCCCTCATTTCGTCCCCGTCCCCGTCCCCGTCCCCGTCCCCGTCCCCGTCCCCATCCCCATCCCCATCCCCATCCCCCTTCTTACCTAGTTTAAACACTTTTCAGTTAGTCCCACCAGTTCCTGGGCTAGGATCCTTTTACCCCTTGCAGACAGGTGAGCTCCATCTGCAGCCATCATGCCAGGTGCTGAGTAAATTGCCCCATGGTCAAAAAACACAAAATTCTTGTGTCTGCACCAACCTCTAAGCCATTTATTGATGAGGAGGGCTTTTTTTTATCCTCTCAGTATCCTTCCCTGCCACTGAAGCGATAGAAGAGAAAACCACTGCATGCCTGCTTCATCAAGTACCCTCCTCAGCCCCTTGAAGTCATTTTTGATAGCCCTCAGGCTTCTCTCAGCAGCATCATCACTGCCGACTTGAACTACCGATAAGTGAGAGTAATCAGATGGGAGAATAAGACCAGAAAACTTTCTAGAGATATCCTTGACCCATGCCCTAGGGAGGCAGCACACTTCCCTACGGGTGGGGTCAGGCCGACATATTGGGCCCTCAGTTCCTTGTAGAAGGGAGTCACCTATAACTATCACTCCTTTGTTTACTGGAGGAGGCAGTCTTCAAGCATGGAGCCGACCACCTCTCCTTAGAAAAGCTTGGAGGCCATCCCTCCACCTGATTCTCAGCCACCTCACCCTCTAGTTTCAGGGCTTCAAACCTATTACATAGAGGCACCTGAGGAATCAAGGTAGGTTGGGATGGACACTGCCTGCGTCACTGAATTGGGACCTGCTGCCATTCCTCCTCTCTTCTCAAGTTGGCTCTCTCGGTTTGACCATGGCTGAACGCTGGCTATAAAAAGCTTGAATATTTCAAACTAAATCCAAGCCAGCTGAACACACATGCATTTGGATACACAGTAATTTTCTTTTTTTTTTTTTTTTTTTTTTTTTTTCAAAGTACACTTCATTCTTTACAATTACAGTTTACTTACCAAAGACATAGACCTATCAGGCAGTCCACAGTTTGCACGTGTGCTCACTGGAGTGCTGGGCTGGCTGGAAGTACTGGTTGTATCATTGGGTTCTTGACGTTCGGGGACAGGCTCATACAAGCTGTCCATTGAACCCTCCTAAAATAAATTGAAATAGTCTTACAAAGATGAATACTTGTAAATCCACTTAAAAACAAACAAAAACATTCATTTTGTGTGATCTGTAAAATGTAAAGACTGATTTTCCTCCATTATCTTTCAAAAAACTTAATTTCCTCTCTCTGTAAAAAACATATAATGCAATTGAAATTAATGTGATATATTATATAAAAACATTTATTCTATATACTATACTCTAGTACAGAATATAAATACAGATGCACATTCAAAGCTAGGCTGCTGATACATAATGTATCAGCAAAGCTGGCCACACTCCTTTTAATGCACTCCGGAATCCCATTGGCCTTCTTGGCCACCGGGGCACAGCTGGCTCACAGTCAACGTGTCATCCACCAGGACCTCCAGGTCCTTCTGCACAGAGCTCCTCTCCAGCAGATCATGCTTCAACCTGTACTGCTACTTGTGGTTATTCCTTCCCAGGTGAAGGACTCTACTCTCGATTTTGTTCAACCCCATCTGATTTCTTACTGCCCAGCTCTGCAGCCTGTCCACGTCTCGCTGAATGGCAGCACTGCCTTCTGGCATGACAGCCACTCCTCCCAGCTTTGTATTGTCAGTATATTTGCTGAGGGTGAACACTATCCCCTCATCAAGGTTGACAGTGAAGACACTGAACAAGACTGGACCCAGCACCAACTCCTGGGGAGCACTTCTAGTCACAGGTCTCCAACCAGACTTTGCACTGCTGATCATCACACTCTGAACTTGGCCAGTCAGACAGTTCTCAATCCACTCATCTACTCATCTACCCCATGCTTTATCAGCTTTGTTAGGATGAATAAAAGATAAAGCACTTGATCCTGTAACGAGGACTGCAATTCAGATGGCTTCAAGAACATCACTGATTTGGTGGGACTGCTTTCTAAATTTCTAAAATATCAAATAAAAACACAGGAACCAATTAGAAGAACAGAGGAGTCATACATTTCCTGTTTATTCAAACAGCAAAATGTACTTTGTGTTTTTTTCTAGTTGGACCTACAGAGCAGCTTCTGGGAGACCACTGACATGGCAGAGCATTGCCTGTGCACACAGCTACTCCCTCACAGAAGCTGTGCAATTGAAATAAAAGAGCATTTGCAGGAAATTGTGTCAGACTGAGAAGAGATTGCTATTTTCTTCTGTTAATGTAGCACAGAAAATGATTTCCACTCCCATCTGTAGAACCCGAGGGACACCACGGAGTCCAGAAGGGAGAGATTCAGGGGACCAAACAGGGAAGGGAAAGCAAGGTCTGGACAAGGAGTCATCCCCTTCAGATACAGTTTTATTTGCTCCTTGACTCAAGTGAAAATACCCATGGCTCTGTGCAGGACCAGCAACAAGGGCAGGTCAGCAATGCCTGCTCTGGCTGCTGCACCAGATGGGCCATAAGCACTGCAGTGATGTCACCATGATGACACATGGGCACCATGGTGATTTTTGAGCCTCTCCCCCTGTAACCTCTTGACAGTTCTGTGGGATTTCACTTGCTAGCTGGCAGGATAAAGGGTAGTTCCCTGTAGTTCCCTGCAGAACTGGCTGCAAGCACAAACCACATACTAAGACAGTAGACACTGAAAGGGAGCTGTCTGCAGTAGGAACTTCTGGTTCTGATCCAGAGGGTCTGGCTGCATTCCCAGGCTCTCCTGATCTTCTGGGTCAGGATAGAGGAACAGCCTGGGCATCAAAAATGGATGAAAAGGATGCCCTAACTTATCCTCATCAGGAGGAAATCAAATGTATAGCTCATGCTTCTTACAAGGAGAGTACATGCAGAGGCACTATTATCTCTGCAGCCCTCATTTTTCCTGAGAAACTCTGGGTACTGGTTGAAAGTCACCAATTTAAGAGCATTTGGTGGGGTCAGAATGGAAGCTGCATTGTAACTGACCAAGAAATGTTTCAGATTGAAGTACTGGGAAAGAAAGGATCTTTGAGAGTGTTTGGGATGCATGAAAAACTTTATTCATCAGCTTAATGTGTATAGATTCACAAAAGCTCAGTGTGACTCCAAAAGATCTCCCTCGCTTCCTGAGTTTCTGGCAGAGGAACAGGCATCTGTGGCTCACAGGAAGGTAAATCAGCTGCTCCATACACTAACCAACTCTCATAATATTCTCCTGGAAGAGTTGCGGGGGGAGTGTATAATAAAATAAGCCTTGGTAACAGAGGAGATGAGGATGACAGTAAACATTCTGATCCTAATTTCTTCCTCTGGCTGTTTGCAGGAATTTTAGAAGTAGCATTGCTGACTACTAGAAATGTGGGAAAAATATATTTGGGCTTTATCCAGCAAGTCTGAGCCCGTAGAACAGAAAGATAAATAAATGAGGGTATTAAGAGTCTGTTACTTCAACATATCTTGCTTTAATCAGCCTGAATTTAAAATGAAAGACATTTTAATATCCATGTTTGTCTTTAGCAATTAAAAGTTGAAGTTTCTGCATCTCACTGTCTTTCAAATCACAGCTCTTCTCCTTTGTATTTTCAGTTACTTTGCTACTACAACCCATACTTCAGAAAAGATCACCCAGAGCTGCTGGAACTCTGCAAGCACAGAGTTGCCCAAAAGAGAAGAGCTGTAGCTGCACCCAACCCACAGGAAGAGCTGAACGAGGGGCCTCCAAGGAGCAGCCCAGATGTCCAGCCCATAGAGGGAACGGCTGCTGGGCCAGAGAAGAGCCTGCTGACAGCAGATCCACAAGCAGGCACACAGATAGTGCCACCCATGGGGCCTCCTCCAGCCAAGCAATTGAAGAAAGCTCCTACCCAAGCTCCTACCCAGGCAGTGCTGCAACTCCACCAGAGCCTGCTGCTGCACCAGAGAGGGAAGAGTGCCAGCCTCTGGCCCCCTCCCTGCTGCCACTTAGCAGCAGCCCCATCTTGGGTGCGGTTTCAACTCCTCCATCTTACAACACTCTGCCCTTCAAGGCACCCACTTTTACACCTGGCTCAGTGTGGCAGGCATTTCCCCAGCCCCCACAGGAATCTGAGCTGCAGGATCCTGGGGCTGCCCTGCATTATTTCAGCCAGTGTTTTGCCATGGCAATGTTGGCAGCAGCCAAGGTGACATCAGCTAACTGTGGGGCCTGGGCAGTCTCACATTGCCCAACATGCACCTGCAGCTCCCACAAAGCAGCCCCGCCTTGCCCAGCATGCACCTGTGGCTCTGACAGAGCAGATGCAGAAGAGCAGCACCCATTTATAGGTTTATAACTTCATACTTCACAGACAGGTATTTCTGGAAATAGGAGGTTAGAATAATAAAATAATAGAATAATAAAAATTCTGCTTGCCACGTCCTTTTCATTTACTCATTCAGGTGAAAGATCACGTTTTTATTTTGTCTTCAAAAAGAAACAATTGTTCTCTAACATCAAATTAACAGTTTTCTGTAACAGTGAAGCTCTAGACCCTTAGCCATAGAGAGTAAAAGATTGGATGATGCTTGCATGCTGCATGTACAAAGAATGCTCTTCTTATTGACTTCTGAGGGGAAATAGAGACTAATTAAACAGCAGCTTTTTCATTATTGAAGACTCAGAAAGAGAATGCCACCTTCGTAGTATGACTGCTCACAAGATACTGCTCTACACTGTCAGGCAACAATAACTCTTGCTTTAATTTCTGGGCTAACATTTACCAAGGGTCTGAGAAAACAAGTGCTTTGCAGGGGCCTTCTTTGGAAAATCAAAGAACACTTTTCAGAAGACCTGGGAAGATATTTGGCCTTTCTTGTTACAGAAAGGTTATAATGGATATCAATTTGGCAACTCTCTTATATTTTTAAATCTCACTTATTTAACATCCTAAACCCTATGTGTTGTACCAAGAAGGCAGTGCAAGAAATAACCAACCAAAGAAAGCATAAGGCAGCATTGCCACAGACTGACTGCTGCCCTAGATTGTGCACATCCACATAGTGAGCAGGAAAGCTGAAAGCTGGCCAGGATTTTGGGGAGTTAGTTTTAGAGCAGATCATTTCTTTCACCAAGTACAACACTGGATCAGCACTGCCTTGGTGACCAAATGTTTGGTAAGAGAGAATTTGAGCGGAAGAGAAGTGAAATGCAGAGGCGAAACAAGAAGACAGATTTCTTAACCCTTGTTTGGATGCTCTACAGCAGTTTTACATCCTTCTTATATTTTCAACTTGGATACAAATTATAAAACACCATACATGTGAATCAAGTCATTAAAATTATTTTAGCACAGCTTTTAAGAAAGAATTTATTACAATATTGTTGATAGATATGTGAAAATACAGTAAATGAGGCAGCTGTTGGAAGCATACAAAATGTATTAGCATCATCCAGTATAGTCACTTTTATAGATCTGCTGATCACGTGAATGAACAGATGTAGAGGGGAAAGAAGAGTTCTGATGATTTCATTAGAAAAGGGCATATTTTTCTCTCTGGCAATCTCAGTATAAGAAGGTAACTGCACTGAATGAAACTTATTTTGTTTTCAAAGTAGTTTCAAGTCTTAAATGTATCAACATCTAGAAGAATATTTCACTGCTTTTACCTGCACTGTTATACTCACTGGAAATACCCCTGTCTTGTGGTCAGTGAAAATGGCATTACCTATAATTCTCAAATATGCTGGCATACATCCTCAGTGAAAGTACTGCTTCCAAAACATATTGAACATTTGCATTTCAGATGTAATATGAAGGAAACGAACAATATGGGATTCCAATCTCTGCACAAAACAACCAATATTGTAAAGCATTAACCTTATATATGCACACTATATAATTTCCAGATCTTTAAAAGTTACTTAGATATTCACAAATGTCTTTTAGATAACACATGTACTATTTTCCTTACATTATAGACTTACACATTACTTCAGAAAGAAATTCTACCATATAAAAAAAGTATGCCAGTTTGGATACATATTTAAGTCATAGCATCTTCAGCCAAGCTTTGGGTTCTTTTTTTGTTTTCTTTTGTTTTGTTCTTGTTGTTT